TTTCAATCTCCCATAGTATACGGTGTCGAGTGGAAGGATGACAAACTGGGGGAGAACTGGGATGAAGCGGCCGTGCCCTAATTTAGAAACTACCCCGAAATCCGCCTAGAGGAACCGAGGGAAACCACGAAAAACCTCAGTTTAGATAGCCTGTGTCCTAGCCGAAATTCGAACCGAATACAAGTTTAGAGCGTTACCTGTTCGGTGCATCTGTTATTATTATTATTATTATTATTATTATTATTATTATTATTATTATTATTATTATTATTATTATTATTATTATTATTATTATTATTATTATTATTATTATTATTATTATTATTATTATTATTATTATTATTATTATTATTATTATTATTATTATTATTATTATTATTATTATTATTATTATTATTATTATTATTATTATTATTATTATTATTATTATTATTATTATTATTATTATTATTATTATTATTATTATTATTATTATTATTATTATTATTATTATTATTATTATTATTATTATTATTATTATTATTATTATTATTATTATTATTATTATTATTATTATTATTATTATTATTATTATTATTATTATTATTATTATTATTATTATTATTATTATTATTATTATTATTATTATTATTATTATTATTATTATTATTATTATTATTATTATTATTATTATTATTATTATTATTATTATTATTATTATTATTATTATTATTATTATTATTATTATTATTATTATTATTATTATTATTATTATTATTATTATTATTATTATTATTATTATTATATCCTCAGCCCTCGACTGTGTTTATGTATTACGTTTTACGATGGTTAGATCTAAGCTAAAATACGCTTCTGCTGTCTGACATTTTATTGTGTCTTGGCCGCGCCATAGCTCAGGCGGTTAGTGGCCGGCTTCCCACCGCGCTGTTCCGGGGTCGACCCCAGATCAATCATGTGGAAATTGTGGCGGACAAAGTTGCGCTAGGGCAGGTTTCCTCCGAGTACTTCAGTTTCCTCTGCCAATTCTCATTCCACATTCATCATCATCTATTATCCGGGGCTGGTACAATAGGACAACGTAAAGTGGGCTCAGTCTCACACCACCCCAGAAACTTAAAAAAAATTTAAAATATATTGCATCTACCGATGCTCCTCTTTGTTCAGAGTAAGGCCGCTCCTCCTGCTGGAAGCGCTTCAGCAGCTAATGTTGCTAACGTTAACACATTCGGAATCGAAACTGTTTCTCTTAATCATATTTTATAATGGTACTTTCCTAATTATTGAAGCGTTCATTTTATACAAGCCGAATGTGTGTATGTATGTCTCGCCGCATAACGGTTGGCGTGGCTGCACTTACTGAATGTTTATTACTGTTTAAATGATAGACGTTGCTTGGTTTTGCCATTTGTGTGTGTGTTTGTTTTGCTTCTTTCTTTTGCTCGTGCCTACTCCGCAACTGACCTTTGGGCAAGTAAATAAATACATAAATAACTGAATTATAATTATTATTGTTATTATTACTTGAATTATTATTATTACTGTTTGTTTACTTCTCTGCAGTAATGCGTTTTTCCTCCAGTGCTTGCCTGTAATTTGACTCTGACTTTATGTTGTGATTGTCCATAATGTAATTAATTTTATCTACACTGTGCTGTGTCTGTAATTGGCCTTGTGGCTGCTGACTTGGCATATAAATAATAAAGAATTTAATTGAATTATATAGTTCTTCCTTTCCAGTGCTTGCCTGTAACTAGCTTTTGGCTGTCGGAAACAACTTTAATAAATTAATTTTATTATTGTTATTATTATTACAACTTTATGTTGTGTTTGTCCAGTATGTAACTACTTCTGTCTACACTGTGCTGTGTTTGTAATTGGGCTTGCGGCTGATGGCTCAGCATATAAATAATAAAGAACTGAAATTGAATTATTATTATTATTATTATTATTATTTGTTTTGTACTTTGTGTATGTTTGTTTCTTTCACTTGTGCTCACTTTCCAATTGACCCTTTGGCTCTTGAATAAGCACGCAAATAAATAAAAACTTAATTATTATTATTATTATTATTATTATTGTCTATTACTGTGATTATTATTATTACTACTATTATTTATCTTACGATAATACCAACATCTGAAAAATACACAGAGGTTTGCGCAGTCGAATAAATATAGGATCATATTTCTACAGTTTTCGATCCACGTGCCGGTAGCTTATCCGAATTACGTTTCAGGAGGAACGAATGTGAGCCATCACAACCACAAAATCATGGAAAGGCGGCATTGGTGATTCTTATCTGTTTACACGGCGCAGTCACCAGGTATTCCTAGCAATGATAACGCACCTATGTAATCATGCGCACATTTGTTACCATTCCTTCACCCTACCACTGTACTGACGAATACAATTTCGTATATTAGAAATTCAAAACGCAACTTAAAATCAACACAATGTTGACTGCACGTCTTTACCAACACCGTTTTCACTGACACAGTAGCTATAAATTCTAGACAGAGGACGTGGTTTTTATCATTAACTGTCATGTCCAGGTCCGACGAACTATCTCAAGTACATAAATGGTTTTTGTTAGGGTGACGGAAATAAAATGAAGCTGGTGTTCACTCATAAAATGTCATGCTTTCATCTGTTGCCCAATTAGCTAAGTTGTGGTTAAAATGTAACAACCATTCTACCTCTTTTCACTCTAAAATACACACTATGGCCCCAGGTTACGCTGGTTGAACTCGTCCTAGCCCATGCACCCAGCCTGTCTCTCGGTCAATGAGTGCAAGTTCTCTCACTAACAACCCTCCCATTCTACTGTCCCATCCCATCATTTCTCTCATAAATGTTTTTCTTTCCGAGTAGATATTCGGCGCTCGTGCAGAATGGTAGAGCCTCACATTCCAATATCTTTCGGAGAGACACATAATTCAACAATAATTTAAATTACAGCTGCAGGTTCTGATACATCAACCACATTAACTGACAAACATCTCTTTTTTCTAACCTCTGGCCTGTTCCTATGATAATTAATATGGGACTATGGATCTTATAGACAGTTAGTAAGAACCCTCTGACGGGCGATTCGCCCCGTTGACAGGTCGTTACCTACGCAGGACAACATAAACACACAGAAGAAACAGGGAAAGACATCCACGCCTCGAGTGGGCTTCGAACCCACGATGCCAGTGTTTCAGCGGAGAAGACATTTCGTATCTCATATCGCGCGGCTGTGGCCGGCTGCTACAGTCCTGAAGAACATAATTAATGTCCAAGCAGTGGAGTAACGACAAGGAAGCTAAGACACCTCAGACGAAAGCTGTGGAAGATACACAATCAGAACACCAGACACCACTGCAGAGCCGTTTCCTATGCTTAGTTGTGTCACCGCTAACAGTTTGCTACACCCGTATGATGCCTGTGACTTCAGACAGCCATGTAATGTTTCATTCCTGCGCATATATATGTATTTCTTTAAGACATAAATTCCCTACAATTCTACATAGTTTTGTTTTCTTCGCTGTAGAATGTATCGAAACAGAAATCGATATTGCAACACTCTCTACACTGAAGGGTTAGCATAAACCGAATGTATTACAACTGGGCAAATTCTCTGTGCTCAAATTTGGCTTTATTAGTGTATTAAAAACTGGAGAAAGGAAATCTTAGAGTAGATATAGGGAGCAGGGGGTAATCTTAGAAGAGTTTGCACGCCCCTTGATCACTGAATCACTCGTCTGAATCTAATAATGTGCCCAAGAGTCTGCCGGCTCCAGTTTAAAAAAACATTCCGACAAGTGTTAATGAATACAGGTCAGATCAATACCTTAATTTAAATGTCTACTCGTACTCTCTGTGGTCTATATACATGAAACATGTTAAGTGATTTTATGATTGGTATTTGAAATCTTACAAAAACCAAACTCCTATGACTTCCATGGCATTCGTTCCATCACTGAAGTGTTATTCTGTCGTTTTCTTACACTTCTGTCACTTCCATGCATCAACGCAACAGTAAATTCACAGCCGTAGTAAAATCTGAACCATTATGTCTACAAGTTCAAAATAACTGGGCAGAACTCTTAACTTCTCCACATACACGTAAATCATTCGATATGCCAAGTTCCTTCTTCTTCTTATTCTTCTTCTATGGCGCAACAGCCCCATGTCGAACCTTGGCCTCCCTTATCAAGCCCCTCCATTCCTCTCTATCCTGCGCTGCTCTCTTCCAGTTCCTTATGCCCATTAACTTCTTTGCATCTTCTTCCACCGCATCAATCCATCTAGTTCTTGGTTTCCCAGCACGTCTCCTACCACCTATTGTACTGTACAATATTTTCTTTGGGATACGCTCCTTATCCATTCTCTGTACATGCCCAGCCCATTGCAATCTTTTAAGCTTTATCGTCACTGAGATCTCTGGCTCCTTATGTAATTTGTATAACTCTTTATACTCAGGAAATTATTCAAAGAATACATTTCCCATTCTTCTGCTGCATTATCTGAGTCCTGAAACGTAATTCTAATGCGTTACGAGAGAGTGGGTGTCTCTTACTGAGCCATCAACTGCAGAGATACGAATAAATGTCTGATTGTAAGACCATCGTACTTTGGGTGCATCAAAGTAACTACATATTACTCAGTATAAAGGATAATTCTAAAATTTCAGAGGTCAGGCTCCTTAATTTCGAATTTCTCTAAATGTCTAAGACATTTCAAGTGAATATATTGTTTATATGTATCGTGTAAGTGACACAACTGTTTTTACGAGTACAAAGTTATCTTACAAACAGGAAGTGTCTTCGTAATACATTCAGGCCTCGCTATTTGAACATCTCTTGATATTCTAGAGTGCGAAAATGTGTTCAAATATAAAAATCAGACGATGTTCTTCGTCACTGTCCAATTTAACAGAAAAATGGAAAATAAATTCTGCGTAAAATATGATTAAAACGGCAGGGGCACTATTAAATAGAAGTTTGTTGCTTTCTGTACTTACTGCCAACATTTCCGTTGCAGTGTTCAGAAGACTGCAGTATCAGTTCCAAAGGCTCCTGTGGATGATCCTCACTTTCAACTGCACAAACGAAAGAATATACTCGTCAGGCATATTTTCTTACACGAGAGGTTTTATATGATTACACAATCCATTCAGCAAAAATCATGAAGGATAATGTCATCCGCACAAGTACTAGGTCAACTTTCTTGGATGTACACACTTTAGCTTCTAGTGCGGTAAATATGTGGCGCTGGTTTTGTTTGTTTCTCTGTTCAGGATAATACGTAAAAGTAAAGTAAAGCTATCCCTGTAACAGGCCGTGGAGGCCCAAAGGGTTGTGAGAGGTCGAGGCTCCCACATTTTCTCTAGACAATCGGCTCACAGATAGCGGTAAGGTTGTCAGCCTTACGCGCCAGCCGCGCTTTAACCCGCAAGGAAGATTCCTGGTACTCATTTCTGTTAGACGCTGAGTGGACCCCACGGCCATAGTGCTGCTGGAAGGATTACGCAAATTGAAAAAAATCCACCTCATCGGGATTCGAGCCCGCGACCTTCCGACTTGAAGCATTGCGCAGCAACCAACTCCACTACCGCGGGCCCCCAAAAGTATGATACTTACAGACATAAATAAAATGATTAACCATGATTAACAATCGGTTCTTGTAGTTTCTCATGTTTTATTCAATATAAATGTTAACGTCTACAAATTGCCACCCAACGTGGGAACTTGATATGAAATAAGATCTAAAAGTTTGTGATGATGGTAAATTGTTACAATTAATATGTTGCTGGACATTATTCATCATCTTGTCTGTTCTAAAAAACCGTCTAGTTTCTATTAAAAACACAACGTTTCGGGAACTGGAATCTGTCCCCGTCTTCAGGTAAAACCTACTCAGTTGGGTCCAATAGACAGAGCTAGCTCCTATCTCCGGACAACTATGCCAGTTTCAGAAGGGATGTTGATATGAAATGTGGGGCCTCAACCGTGCTCCTAGTGAGTACGGTTGCTAAACACAGTACAGTGTATTTCACAAGTGTGGCATCTGTTAAGAATTTCGTTCAATAATACATAAGTAATGTTAAGATGCCCTGCAAACAGACCTTCTCATTGCAACTTCATGGCAGAACAACTGCATTGGATTTCAAATACACGTATAGGCCTACTGATATCAGGCTAATAAAAAATCCGTGGCCTTTAGTCCGCAAGAGAACTATACCGAAGTTAGTGCCAACTTCTGCGGATAGAGGGTATCTCGTGGCCAGCGCAACGGATTCCCACGGCCGTTAATCTTGGTTTTCTAGACCGGAGCCGCTACTATTCCATTCAAGTACTCCTCAGTTATCCTCACGAGGCTGAGTGGACCCCGTTCTAGACCCACTACTTCTCAGAAAATCTGGTAGCTCAGGGAATCGAACCCGAGACCTCTGGATCTGTACTCAGGACCTCTGACCACAAGTTCACAGAGACGGTCGATAACAAGCTAATACAGGAATTTATTTCATCTTTCCATTCTGCCATTCGTATGCAACTACATATATAGAACCGAACAGAATGGTCTAGATCAGCGATGGCCAACTGGCGGCCCGCGACTTGATTTACTCCGGCCCCCTGCCAAGTCTCAGGTTTATTTTCAAAAATCTTAACTTCACAGCTGTATTGGCATAGAATTCAGTTTTTAATAGGACGTTTCATTAGCTTACAGCATTTTGCAATTGACTGTATACGTTCTTACTGAGTTGGACAGTTCAAACGGTTTTCTAATAACTGTGTTCATGTCATGGAAATTCAAAGTTCCCCAACCCTACTTCTGTAAGGAGATGACACTGAAGGGAAGACCGTAGTGGTGAAGGATTTATGACACCTTCAAAATAATAACCATTCCCAGCTTGCTCGCGGCGATGGGATGTTTACCGTTTCTCTCGGCATCCTGGCCTTTGTTAAGTGCCAGTTTTAGCAGAAATGTCTCCCAGTTAGTGCGATTTTAGAAAGTGAAGTGTGATTACGGAGTGTGAGTGTAGAACTGTTTTTAAATTAAAATTGTGTTTGAAGTTATTGTGAGTGATACAGCATGTCAAATAGTAAATTGAGAAAAGTTGATAGCGAAAATAGGGCGTTCAAATCTGAGTGGGAACATGACTATTTTTTTATATTAAATAAAGACCACAAGCCACAGTGTTTAGTATGTTTTCAAGTGCTAGCAGTTTTAAAGGAGTACAACCTAAAGAGGCATTACATGACAAATCATAAACAGAAGTTCGGAAAACACTCTTGTGAATCAAGGAAAGTAGTCTGCGATCAGTTAAAGAAAAAACTTTTCCAGCAGAAATCTCTTTTTACCAATGAAACAAAACAACAAGAAGAAGCTTTGCTGGCTTCTTATTTCGTGACATATGAATTAATGAAAGCTAAAAAAGCGTTAAGTGATGGTGAATTAATTAAGAACTGTGCGATAAAGATGGCAGAAGCTTTCAATGAAAATAAGGTAGGAAACAAATTTCAAACAGTGCCCCTTTCAAAACAGACTGTTACTAGGAGGCTGGAAGATATTAGCAACCAGATATCTAATAATGTGAAAGACATTATCGCTAATTGTTCCTATTTCTCAATTGCTCTCGACGAAAGCACAGATGTTTCGGATACTAATCAGTTGCTGATATTTGTTCGTGCAATTAAGGAAGATTTTACAATTTTCGAAGAGTTGTTAAAAGTGTGCTCTTTACACAGCACAACTAGAGGTGTCGATATTTTTAACGCTGTTAAGAGTGCAGTGGAGGAATTCGGTGGTTTTGAAAAATTGTCCTCCATAGTAACAGATGGCGCTAAATCAATGACAGGGACAATAAGCGGTTTTGTTGGATTTTTAAGACAGAATCAAATTACTGTACCTACCTTGCATTGTATTATACATCAGGAGGCTCTATGTGCCAAATCAATTAAACTGTCTACCACCATGGCTACTGTCACAAAAATTACTAATTTGATCAGAGGAGGAAATCGATCACTCACTCACAGAAAATTTCTGACCCTCTTGGAAGAAATGGATTCTGCTTACGGGGACCTGCTTCTGCACACTGAAGTAAGATGGTTAAGCCGTGGGAAATGTCTGGTACGGTTCTTTGAACTCCGTCATGAAATAGCAACATTCCTAAGAGAAGAGGTTACGAATTCTGCTGAACTGCAGAATGATCTCGAAGACGTCGAATTCTTGAGAAACTTGGCCTTTCTCACTGATATCACTCAACACTTGAATGTCCTGAATCTGCAATTGCAAGGCAAGAAGCAGACAATATGTCAGATGGTTGGCTTTGTTGACAGTTTCCGTAAAAAGCTACATTTATTTAAGTCTGCATTGGACAAAAATAACCTTCTACATTTCCCTTGCTGTCGGAAACTCTCAGAAGAAGAAGAAGGCTTGGAGTTTAGGGACTACACTGAAATTATTGAAGATTTGTCTTCAGAGTTCGACCGACGATTTAACGATTTTGAAAGCTTTCGACCTGATATTTCTTTATTCAGTAATCCTATACATTGTGATATAGAATCTCAGCCAGGTCATCTGCAATTAGAGCTTTGTGAACTTCAATGTGACCCATCCTTAAACACATCTCAGGTTACTGGAATTGACTTTTGGAAACTGCTTTCACCAGAACGTTACCCACTGTTACGAAATTGGGCTCTCAAACTTTGCTCTGTTTTTGCAAGTACTTACATATGCGAGACAGCGTTTTCATCGCTGAAGCATGTAAAGTCTAAGAACAGGAACAGACTTTCAGATGTCGTGTTATCACATATTCTTCGAGTGGCAACCTCACAATTAGAAGTGGATTTTATGTCATTGGTTTCCAGTTTTATGAAACCACAGTGCTCTCATTAAAACAGTGTGTATATGAGGATTTAGGTATAATCATTAGACCATAAAAACTATGATTGAAAGTCTTTTGTGCTCATCCCTGCTGAAAGAGGAATTTGTGCTGTTTTATGGTAAGTAATTGCACATTTCAAGGCATTTTATTTTTCTTTCTTAAATTATAATTGCATTTTCCCCCGGCATATATAAAACTAAACATAAGACATGATCTGGCCAGTGTTTCTTTAAGAAAAAATGCTCTGGGGGTAGAAGTGATAGAAGGCAATAAAATCGATTGGTGAAATTTTCAATATCGGCTTAATATTATTGGTGCAACGTAAAATTTAAATACATAGGTTTAAATGCACTTTTTATACGGGTTGTGACTGATTCAGTTTGGGGGGCAATACTCCCCGACCACTCTTCTGAAAGAAACGCCGTATCTGGCCCCTGATGGTGTTCTATAAACTAAATTTGGCCCTCGAGATGTATTAGGTTGGCCAACGCTGGTCTAGATGTAGTCCTCTGAACATGTATTCGAGAGGTCCTCGGTTCGAGTCATTGCCGGCACACAGGCTATCTTAAAGTTTTTCGTGGTTTTCGGCAATCCCTCCGGGCAAATTCCAGGACTTATTTCTATTATGCAACGATCACTTCCTTCCAAATCATTTCTAATTTATCATTCACATATCATCCTGCCATTCGACGCCATATATTTGTCTCGATACTGAGAGCGGCGTTAGATGACCTATAACAGAAACCGTCTCGTCCGAATTTTAGTTTAAAATGTTTATTTAGAATCAAACTTGGTCTATATAGGTAATTTCCGTTTTTCTTTGAAACGTTAACGAAGTCCACGCCGTAATTATCGGGCTTGTCACGCTAGAAGTGAAGGCCGAATCCGTGGGAAAGTCTGAGTGTGGTTCAGTCAATCAATCTCCGTGGCTTAAGTCCGCAAGCGAACTATATCGACCGAGCGACCGCCGCTTGTCGGCGAAGTTAGCGCCAACTTTAGCGGATAGAGAGTGTCGCGTTATGGTGGACAAAATGGCACTGGAGCTGGATTTTCTTCGAATACTTTGGTGCTTCTCTGCTTCTGATATGCGACATAAGCCTGACCAGCAGGCAGGCACTTTACCACAACAATGATAATTAGTTGGCGCAATTAGCCGGACTCAGTGCAAGAAGCTCACTCTTTACTAGATGTTCTTCTCTCCCTCTCGCTCC